CTGTGAAGAATGATAGTGACATTTTGATGGGAATTACATTGAATTTGTAGATTGCTTTTGGCAGTTTGGTCATTTTCACAATATTGATTCTACCCATCTATGAGCATGGCATGTGTTTCCATTTGTTTGTGTCGTCTGTGATTTCTTTCAGCAGTGTTTTGTAGTTTTGCTTGAAGAGGTCTTACACCTCCTTGGTTAGGTATATTCCTAAGTATTTGACTTTATTCATTTTTATTTTTTGCAACTATTGTAAAAGGGGTGAGTTCTTGATTCTTAGCTCAGTTGCTGTTGGTGCAGGGCTACCGATTTGAGTACATTGATTTTGTTTCCTGAAACTTTACTGAATTCATTTATCAAATCTAGGAGCTTTTTGAAGGAGTCTTCAGGGTTTTCTAGGTATATGATTATATCCTTGGCAAACAGCAAGAGTTTGACTCCCTCTTTACTGATTTGGATGCTCTTTATTTCTTTCTCTTGTCTGATAGCTCTGGCTAGAATACTTAATTTCTTCTTATTGCCAAATAATAGTCCACTATACGGGTAGGCCACATTTTGTTTATTCACCCATCAGTTGGTGGACATGTGAGTTGTTTCCACTTTTTGGCTGTTAGGAATAATGTGCTCTGAATATTCCTGTACAAGTGTTTGTGTTGGCATGTTTTCACTTCTCTTGATACATACCTAGAAGTAGAATTGACTGAGCATATGGTAACTATGTTCAACTGTTTGAGGAGCTACCAAACTTTTCCAAGGCAACTGTAGCATTTTACATTCCCAGGAGTAATGTATGAAGGTTCTCATTCTCCATATTCTTGCTAACACTTATCCATCTTTTTTATATAGCCATCCTAGGGAGAAGCTGTGTCTCACTGTGGTTTTGTTTTGCATTTCCATAGTCTGCAGCCTATTTTTATATAGCTTGAAAGCTAAGAATGCTTTTTTACATGTTTTAATTGTTGAAAAAAATGAAAGAAATATATTTTATGACACATGAAAATTATCTGAAATTTAACAGTATCTATAAAGTTTTACAGCCATGCCCATTCATTGTGTATTTTCTGGATCTGCTTTTCTTGCTGCAATGACAGAGTTTAGTACCTGCAACAGAGTCTGTATGGCCTGCAAAGTCTAAAATATTTGCTATCTGGCCTATTACAGGAAAGGTTTACCAACTCTCTATCTACAATTATAATTGGACGAGACTACAAGGAATCTGGTGTGGGAAGGAGAAATTGTGACTTCCCTGTGGAAATGTATGGTTTCGGGGGTTTTGTTTTGTTTTGTTTTAAATAAAAGCAGAACAAGGGAAGAAATCAGGATGTTAGGGGGCATAGGGAGATGATCATTTTCACCTGAATCATTATTAATAAGATCCTTTCAACTTTGGGCCCTCCCAATCCTGTAAAATTCTCCTAGAGTTCTATTTATAATTTCCTGCTCCGATTGTATCATCTAACTCATCAGAAATCTGCAGGGATTCCCCACCACCACAGCCCTCTTAGTTAGTTAGGACCACTTAGGTCCTGCATGATCTGACTTTATCTTACCTTTCCAGCCTTATTTTCTAGCACTCACCTTTAATAGGACCAGACACCCAGCCCTGAATTTCAGGATTCTGTGCTTTTGCTCAGGTTTTTTTTGTTTTTTTTTTTGAGACATGATCTGGTTCTGTTGCACAGCTGTAGTGCAGTAGCATGATCATGGCTCACTGCAACTTCTGCTTCCCAGGCTCAAACCATCCTCTCACCTCAGCCTCCTGCATAGCTGGGATCATAGGTGCATGCCACCATGCCTGGCTAATTTTTGTATTTTTGTAGAGATGGGGTCTCACTTTGATGCCCTGGCTGATCTTGAACTCCTGAGCTCAAGCCATTTGCCCACCTTGATCTCCCAAAGTGCTGGGATTATAGGTATGAGTCACCGTGCCTGGCACTCATACTTTCTTGTCTACTTAGAATGCTTTTCTCTTTTCCAAATCCTAGAGATACTTTAATTGTTGTTATTGTGAAATATTTCAAGCATGCAAAGAAGTAAAGAGACATCTGTGAACTCATCGCCAAGCTTTGTCAAATCTTATCGTTTTGTCATGTTCCTTTAGTTCTTTAAAATATTACAGACTTAGATATGTTATTAAACCTCCTCAAATGCCAACTCTTCTAAATAGGCCTCCTTGATATACTCAGTCAGAATTACCTGCATTTACCTACAGGGAAAGCTACTCAGTCCCTCATATGATGACATCTTTGAGCATTCTTTATTATGGTCATTCCCGTAGAGTGCTACAAAGATGACTTTAGGTAATCCAAGTACATTAGAAATATGCACATATGGCCTGGCATGGTGGCTCATGCCTATAATCCCAATACTTTTAGGAGGCCGAGGCAGGAGGATTGCTTGAGCCCAGGAGTTCAAGACCAGCCTGGGCAATATAGTGATACCTCATCTTTACAAAAAAAAATTTTTTTAATTAGCCAAGCGTAGTGGCATGTGCCTGTAGTCCTAGTTAGTCAGGAGGCTGAGTGGGGAAGATTCCTACAGCCCAAAAAATTGAGGCTGCCATAAGCTGAGACTGTGCCACTGTACTCCAGCCTGGGCAACAGAGTGAGATCCTGTCTTAAAAAAATGAAAAGAATACTTAACCTGGCAGGGGAGATACCATGATCACAAAGGTGGTTTTCCCAGGACAAGGCTTATCTATTGCACTCCGAATGTGCTGACCCCTGCGATTTCCCCAAATGTGGGAAACTCGACTTCATAACTTGTGGTAGTGGGAGACTGTGTTCACGCTTTCCCCTGGTTTAGTTAATATCTTTATAAAAATTAAAAAAATTTTTTTAAAAGGAAAAGAATGAAAAAGAAAGAAAAGAAAAAAAAAATGAGCCCAGGATGGCAACTCACGCCTATAATCCCAGTGCTTTGAGAGGCCGAGGCAGGTTGATCACTTGAGGTCAGGAATTTGAGACCAGCCTGGCCAACATAGTGAAACCTCATCTCTACTAAAAATACAAAAATTACCTAGGTGTGGTGGCACACACCTGTAATCCCAGCTACTCAGGAGGCTGAGGCATGAGAACCACTTGAACTCAGGAGGCAGAAGTTGCAGTAAGCCGAGATTGTGTCACTATACTCTAGCCTGGGTGACAAAGCAAGACTCCTCAGAAAAAAAAAAAAAAAAAAAACCAACACAAAAGTTATTTAAAACTATAGGCCAGGTGCGGTGGCTTACACCTGTAATCTTAGCACTTTGGAAGGCAGAGGAGGGCAGATCACAAGGTAAGGAGTTTGAGACCAGCCTGACCAACATGGTGAAACCCCATTTCTACTAAAAATACAAAAAAAATTACCTGGGCTTGGTGGTGCATGACTGTAATCCCAGCTACTCAGGAGGCTGAGGCAGGAGGATCACTTGAATCCAGTAAGCTGAGATTGGGCCACTGAATTCCAGCCTGGGCGACAGAGCAAGACTCTGTCTCAAAAAACAGACAAAAACAAAACAATATAGCTAGAACACCAAATCTGTGATTTCCCAGGTATTTTTTAGGACAAGGGTAAGGTAAGTACAAATATTGGGAAATTATTGAGTAATATTAAAAAAATAGCGAGTAAAAACATTGAGTAAATCTGTATTGAGTATTATTATACAGATGATATGGCAAAGATTTTAAAGGTTGTGTCCAAATAATTTAGAAAGTTTCACTTACGGGAATGTAAGTTCTTGACAGTGAAGACCCAATTTTATTTCTTTTTCTATACCCTAAGTATCGAACAAACTCAGAATAGATGCTTACTGAATCAGTTTCTTTCTGAGGCAGAGAGATCTCTGAAAATCATATGAAACCTCCTAAACCTTCTGACAGATAACTTTTAAGACATTTTCCCCACACCAAGTGCCCATGCTGAGGACTAATGATACATTTTCCCCTCTTCCTTCCCTGCCCATTATGACAAGTTGCCCCAGCTGGGGCTTGATAGATACTAAATAGTGCTAATAATAGTCATCCCCCGAAGGAATGAGGACTTGAAGTTGCCAAGATGCTCTGTTTTGCTCCAATAAACCAATCTCAGTATATTTCAGTTTGTGTGCCACTTTCATTCTTGGATATGGTCCAACACACACACAAACACACACACACACACTTTCTCTCAAAACACTTTATTTTTTAGATAAATATTTCTCAGTCTCCTTAAAAGTCATTATTTTATTTCTATCTTTTCATTATTGTTAATACCAAACCATTTGAAGTCACGTTGGCAACTGGATTTCATCTTGAGACTTGTCATTGAGGAATCATTTTATTGTGTAGCAATCCCTATTCACAACGTCAGCCAAATTATGTCATGTGGTTGCAAAACTGCTGTCCTGCTTTCCAGCTTTTCTGAGTAAATTTGACTCTTTGAGAAGTTTCGTTCTTCCTATCCTAAAATGACCTTATATGCTCTCATATCTCAGGGGAGCCTAATTGTGATGAAATCTTTCGCTTTATTTCCTTTCTTATTCCCTGTGTTTTGAGGTGGTCTTTTAGGGTTGTGGGGGGTAAGGGGAACTACAGAGGTCTGAGTCACAAAGAAGATCTGAACAAGATATCTGAAGTTCAATAGGGCCCTCAAAGCTTCACTCATATTGGACTAGAGATGCTTCCTGAGAGAAGTCTATCAAAGTTCTGTAAGTGATATATACCCCCTTTGTTTCCCAACTCCTACTGTTAAGGCACAAGTCTCTACTGATCTTAAAACACTAGGCCAGGATGGCTGTAACTAGAGTGTACAGCTTTATACTTTATTGCCCAAATTAGGACACTTTAAAAATTTTCAATAGTTTTTTGGGTATGGGTGGTTTTTGGTTACATTGATGAGTTCCTTCATGGTGAATTTTGAGATTTTAATGCACCTGTCCCCCAAGCAGTGTACACTGTACTCATATAGTCTTTTATCCCTCCCCCATCCCACTACCCCCGTGTCCCCAAAGTCCTTTATATCACTCTCTATGTCTTTGTGTCCAAATGAGGACACTTTTGAAACTGAAAGTAGGTGCTGGGGAAAAAAGACGTAAGCCAGGGCCCACACAGGCAAACCATGACATCAGGTCAGCATACCTAAAACACTTTGAACCCCTTATCCTCTATTCATAAAGGTCAAATTGGGGTCTCTAGATTTCTTTTTCTTTTTGTTGTGGTTGTTGAGATAAGGTCTTGTCCTGTTGCCCCGGCTGGAGTGTAGTGGCACAAACATGGTTCAATGTAGCCTCAACTTCCCAGGCTCAAGTGATCCTCCCACCTCAGCCTCCCACCCAAGTAGCTGAGACTACAGACATGCACCACCATATCTGGCTTTTTTTGTTTTTGGGGGATTTTGCCATGTTTCCCAGGCTGATCTCAAACTTCTGGCTCAAGGGATCCTCCCACCTCAGCCTCCCAAAGTGCTGGGGTTCCGGGTGTGAGCCACCATGTCTGGCCTAGATTTCAACTTGAAAGTCTGTAGAGTGGCTGGGAATGGTGGCTTACACCTGTAATCCCAACACTTTGGGAGGCTGAGGCAGGCAGATCGCTTGAGCCCAGAAGTTCGAGACCAGCCTGGGCAACATAGTGAGACCTCCTCTCTACAAAAAAAAAAAAATTTAATTAGGTATGGTAGCACACACATGTAGTCCAGCTACTCAGGAAGCTGAGATAAACTGCTTGAGCCCAGGAGGTCAAGACTACAGTGGGCCATGGTCCAGCCTGGGTGACAAAGCAAGACCCTGTCTCAAAAACAAAACAAAACAAAATCACACATACAAGATCCCCAGTGTCACTAATCATCAGGGAAATGCAGGTCAAAACTATAGTGAGCTATCACCTCACACTTGTTATGATGGCCATTACCAAAAATACATAAAATAAGTGTTGATGAGGATATAGAGAAATTTCAACATGTGTACACTGTTGGTGGGAATGTAAAATGCTGCAGCTATATGGAAAACAGTATGGAAGTTCCTCCAAAAAGTTAAAAATTGAACTGTTGTATGATGTAGCAATACCATTTCTGGTATTTATCCAAAAGAATTCAAAATGGGATCTTGAAAACATATTTGTACTCCCATGTTCATTGCTGTGTTATTCACAACAGCCAAGAGGTAGGGAAAAAAAACCAATGTCTACCAGTGGATAAATAGATAAAGAAAATGTGGTTTATACACACAATGGCCTATTACTCATCTTTTTAGTGGGCTGTCCTGTAATATCTGCTATTATTTATAACATTGTTTCTATGGAGAAATTATTCTGTCTTCCACATAGCTGACCTACAAATGAAGGTCTTAAAAAGAGAAGGAAATCCTGTCACATGCTGCAACAAGAATTTGGAAGACATTATGCTAAGTGAAGTAAGCCCATCTCAAAAAAACAACAATACTGCAGGATTCTTCTTACATGAGGCATCTAAGGGAGTCAAACTCATAGAAACAGAAACTAGAATGGTGTTTTTGGAGAGGGGAACATTAGTTGCAATTTGGTGGATATAGGATTTCAGTCATTCAAGATGAGACACTTCTAGAGATATGCTGTACATCAACATGCATATAGGTAACAATCATGTACACTTAAAATTTTGTTAAGAGGGCTTTTCACAAGATGACACCAAAAGCAAGGAAGGAAGCTCCTGCCCTCCTAAAGTCGAAGCCAAAGCAAAGGTTTTAAAGACCAAGAAGGCATTGTTGAAAGGTGTCCACAGCCTCCACAGCCACAAAAGAAAAAAGATCTGCAACTCACCCACTTTCCGGCGGCCCAGGACACTGCAATTCCGGAGGCAGCCCAAATATCCTCAGAAGAGCACCCCCAAGAGAAACAAACTTGACCACTCTGCTATCATCAAGTTTCGGCGGACCACTGAGTCTGTCACGAAGATAGAAGACAACAACACGCTTGTGTTCGTTGTGGATGTTAAAGCCAATAAGCACCAGGTCAAACAGGCTGTGAAGAAGCTCTGTGACATTGATGTGGCCAAGGTCAACACCCCGATTTGGCCTGATGGAGAGAAGAAGGCATATGTTCAACTGGCTCCTAATTACAATGCTTTGGATATTGCCAACAAAATTGGGATCATCTAAACTGAGTCCAGCTAATTCTAAATATATGTATGTCTTCTCACCGTAAAATAAAAATTGTTAAGAGGGTACATCTCACATATGCGTTTTTCACAATAAAAAAAAAGAAAGAAAAGAATGTTCCATAGGTTAGACCAAAGTTTGCCTTTCTCTTCCTGATTCAACTGTGCCCTCTGGTGGTGATAGTTGCTAATAGAAGTAAAATAACTCCACTCCTTTATATCCTTTCCAAATTCATTTGTAGGTCAGCTGTGTGGAAGACAGAATAATTTCCCCGTAGAAACAAGGTTGTAAATAATGGCAGATGTTGCAGGACAACCCACCAAAACCCATATAAATCTTACTTGAAATAGTATTGATAGTAGCCCTATGTCACTTGATTTACACCCTCCTTCCTCTGCCGGCACTCCTTGTTGGCAAAACAAATGAAAAATCCCACATCCACAGTCACTGCTACTCTGTCCCCACCACCATCAGAAGTAGAAAGAGAAAAGAGAAGGGAAGAGGATTCGTGCTTCAGCCAAATCTAACATCTTTATTTATAGGCACACCTCTGTCCAGAAACCCCACACCCTCCTAGGGCCTTCAAAGGAGTGGACCACCTAGAAAAAAACTTAAAGGTCCTCTTTGCCTCTTTCAGAATCTTGGGGCAAATATTAAGAAAATTTTGCGGGCCGGGCGCAGTGGCTCAAGCCTGTAAATCCCAGCACTTTGGGAGGCCGAGGCAGGTGGATCACGAGGTCAAGAGATCTAGACCATCCTGGTCAACAAGGTGAAACCCCGTCTCTACTAAAAATATAAAAAATTAGCTGGGCATGGTGGCGTGTGCCTGTAATCCCAGCTACTCAGGAGGCTGAGGCAGGAGAATTGCCTGAACCCAGGAGGCAGAGGTTGCGGTGAGCCGAGATCGCGCCATTGCACTCCAGTCTGGGTAACAAGAGCGAAACTCCGTCTTAAAAAAAGAAAAAAAAAGAAAATTTTGCATTCTTCTCTCTTGCTTAACACATAGTCCTTAGCTCTCCAGGGTTTCACCATGTTGCCCAGGCTGGTCTTGTACTCTTGGATTCAAGCAATCCACCTGCCCAGCTTCCCAAAGTGCTGGGATTACAAGTGTGAGCCACTGTGCCCAGCCAATAACTCCAAAGTCAAAGTCACCAGAGTCTCCAGAGTCAAAGTCACCTTCTAAGTAGAAGGGAATAAAAAAGAAAAAGAAGGCCAGAAAAAATAAAATGGAAAAAAAAACACACAAAAAAACTCTTCTATCCAAGGTCTGCTCATACCTGGAAATCTCTCCAACGTATAACCAATAAATCTCCAAAGACCTCGTCTTTTCCCAGCTTTATAAAACTTTCCCCTAGTCCCTTCTAGGCTGGCTGGAAGAAGGAAGGGGTGAGGGAATGAACAATCCCAGTCTAGTTGGTGTAAATCATATTTTATCAATGATTGCTTGTCTTTTTTTTTTTGAGAGGGAGTCTCACTCTGTTACCCAGCCTGGAGTGTAGTGGCACGACCTTGGCTCACTGCAGCCTCTGCCTTCCAGTTGCAAGTGATTCTCCTGCCTCAGCCTCCCGAGTAGTTGTGATTACAGGCACGTGCTACCACGCTGGGCTAATTTCTGTATTTTTAGTAGAGATGGGGTTTCACCATGTTGGCCAGGTTGGTCTAGAGCTCCTGACCTCAAATGATCCACCCTCCTCAACCTCCCAAAATGCTGGGATTATAGGCGTGCGCCACCGCACCTGGCTGAACGCTTGATTTTCTTATGTGCTCAACTATTGTTTGTGTTGTATGATTCCCAGGGCCTCTTTCCCAGGAAGGGACAGAAATGACATGGACCCTGCTGTATGTAAATACATTTTTTTTTTGGTTGGTTGATTGTTTAGACAGGGTCTCATTCTGTCTCCCAGGATAGAGTGCAATGGTGCCATCATAGTTTACAAAATCCCATTTCAAAGGAACTAGAAAACTGTGGAATATTATCAATCTATTCAAAGTGACAAGAGGAAAAAAATCTGTATTATGATTTCAGTGATACAGGAAAAAAGAGCTGGAAGAGCATATAAACAAGTAAAAACACTTAGATTGCTTAGAATGAACTGATGTTAGTGCATTACTTAATTTGGAATTACCGGCCTGGGTGCAGTGGCTCACACTTGAAATCCCAGCACTTTGAGAAGCTGAAGTGGGCGAATCACTTGATTCCAGGAGTTCGAGACCAGCCTGGGCAACATGGTGAAACCCCATCTCTACAAAAAAATGCAAAAATTACCTGGGCATGGTGGCACATGCCTGTAGTCCTAGCTACTTAGGGGGCTGAGATGGGAGGATTGCTTGAGCCTGGGAAGTTGAGGCTGCAGTGAGCTGAGATCATGCCACTGCACTCCATGCACTCCAGCCTGGGTGACAAAGTGAGACCCTGTCTCAAAAAAAAAAAAAAACAAAGGAAGGAAGGAAGGAAGGATTGATTTGGAATTACCCTAACATTGCTATAATGCACAATTTTGTTTAATAATAAATAAAAATATTGACTGTTTTACATTTGTCAAAATGCAAAACTTCAAAACCTAAGAGGTTTAACACAGCCCTTCATTGTATTTCACAATTCTGTGGATTGGATGGGCAGTTTTTCTACAGGTCTCACTTGGGTTTCCCACGAGTTTGCTGTGAAAGGGCAGCTGGTGCTCTTCTGTGTGGTCTCTCCATGCATCTGATGTCGTCCTCCAAGACCTCTCTACATTATGGCTCGGAAGCAGAAGCTGCCAGACCCAGACCGTCGTAAAGTCTGGAGTCAGAAATCCTAGAACTTTACTTCCTCCACATTCTTCTGGTCATAATATCACAGGCTCAGCCCAGATGAGAGCAGAAGGACACAAACTTCACCTCTTTTTTTTTTTTTTTTTTAGAAAGGGTTTTATTCCTGTTGACTGTGGGAGTAAGTAGGGGTAGTAAATGGCAATACTTGTATTATAAAGGTGGTCAAAGGATTTAGAATCTTGACGCTGGCTTGAAAACCTTCCATGTGTACTTGCCTTTTTGGTAAGCCCTTGGATTCTTAAAAAGTTATGTATGTGATCTTCATAGTCAGATTTTTCTACAATTAGATTTCCTGAAAAATAATTATTTTGTAGGTGAGGTCAGTATTTAGTTAAAATGTTAAATGTGTCTGAGCACTAATAGAGATGGATTATTCTGTGATTTTTCTTGCCTTTGACAACAATGCAAACCAAAAGCATACAGCAGAAAAGAATTGTGGTTGGATAATCCTTCAAAGTATTAGTTTCTGGTCCCAGACTGTGCAAATGAATTGACATGAATTGTACAGAGTAGATTGAAGAAAATCAGGGTGACAAATATTCCACGATTAGCTCTCCAAAAAAACCACTGAGTTTAGCTGCACATTTTGACAGAGCTTTTGCTCCCAGAATTAAATAAAGTAAGATCTTGGGGCAAAGAGATGAGTGGGAGATGAGTGGCAGAAATCCCATGGGAGAGAAACCCCAAACCCTCACCAGAACCTGCACAGCTACTAGCCCAGATCCAGGGCACTGCTTAGAAGCTGAGGCAGAGCTGAGTTGATCCTCTCATTGTCATCCTGTGGGTTCTATCATTCACCAGCACATCCTTTGTCCAGTTTGAGATGATACTTGCCTGTGTTCCAAGAATCTTTAAATATTCATTTGATTGACTGTCTCTTGAAAATAATCCCCCATCTAACGGCCAGGACACTCAGAAACACCATTTTGCTCCTCTCTCTGCCCCCAAGATGGAGGTAGAAAATGGACTCCTCATTGGGTAATGAAGGAAAAGGCTTGGACACTTTATGGGGTGATGGCTGGCGACAACAGAAAGGGAAACGTCAGGCAAAAAGAAAGGAGGATTACTTGCACTTAGTGCAAAATCATCCACTGAGCTAAGATAGCAGAGAAACACACTACTCCATTAGTGTTAAATGTCTTGTCACAGGCAGAGAATGCCAGAGCTGGAAGAGAAGTTGGAGAACATCTAGTCCCACCCTTCCATGCATCAGAGGAAACCCAGAAATAAACAGATGTGGCCTGGAAAAGGGCCTGACTTGCTTGAAGTCAAAGAGCTGATCATTTGGCTCTGTCAGAACCTTGAATAAAATGTCCTAAGTGGACAGTATCTCCACTGCCCAACAGAGGCAAATCTGGCTTAAGAGGTCTTTCTTTGGAGGTAGATTTTTCTCTGATCCTCCCTCAAGTCATCGTAAGTTGAATGGAGAGTCCAGTTCCTATGTTCTTAGACTTCCAAATTTAATAGCTCACCGTGATCCCAAACTTAAGTATTTGGGGAATTAAATTAGTTTATGGCATAAAATATAGTGAAAACAAGTTTTTAAATGGTTGTGGGAAAGCCATACTTGCTCATGGACAATTTACATTTCATAGAGACTCTATGAGACTACACAAATTAGCCCACAGATACCTGAAACAGAGTGGCACAATGCATTTAATTTTGTTGAAGTCCAAGTTTCTTTCACTGTGATGAAGGAGGAACTGACATTCTGTACAGCTATGCCTGTGTTCTGCTCATTCTTCTAAGAATACTTTGGTCACTAGAATTTGTCAGGTGGAGGAGGAGGGTGTCATCCTATTGCTCAGTATTTCTCAGATAGTCACTTTGTAGCTTATATTCCCACAATAGTTTATCTTAGGATGTTTTGTGGCCTCATGCCACTCAGCATTATTACACCAGTGAAACTCACCAGATTATATTTTCTGTATTCACTCTCCATAGGCTTCTGTTCCCTTGATAGTTTTTTGTCTTAGAAGCTTTTTTTCTGGAGAAAAACTAACATTTAGCACCACTTTATGTATGTAAGGATGGATGTAGGTTTCTTTGTAGCAGATTTTAAAACTTTGGCATCAGCCCTGGTGGTTTCTGGTGTAGGAACTGAGAGACCCTTTAGTGTTCTACCTGGAAGTGTGGCTGGCAGACGAGATCTTGAGTGAGTGACCCCAGGTCCAGAGCAAGCTGTAATTCCAGAAATGTAGTGGATGAGCCAGGCCCTGCTGATGGTGGACATAGTGGACTCTAAGAACCTAGTCAAAATCATAGTTTTTGGATGGCTTCATGTACAGAATCAGGTGAAGAGCCTGCTCCTGTGCCTAGCATGGTTTCACTGAGAACACTGTGCCTGAACTGAGAAGATAAAACACCCTTGAGAAGAACTTGAATGCCTGTGCCTCAGGCCCCCACACTCCTCAGCATTCTATTGCTTAAGACAACAGAACTATTGTCAGGAGCATTTTGAGAACTTTCTTGCTTTTGCTGCTAAGGTTGAAGAGAAGCAAGTACAGCATTCCTAAATCCCTGTATTCCTTGTTCCTGTGTCTTGATGGATAGTGATTTATTTTGCAGCAAGAGTGAGTCTGAAGAACTACTCTAATAAAGAAATGGGTCCTTTGCCCAATGGCATAGAGATCTTTGCACACTTATAATAAAGCAAATTTCTTTTTGAAAATTTTAAACTTCTCTTAGACAGGTATTGATGGCACATTCCATTAAAATCTTTGTTTATAGGACTCAGAGATAGCCGGATATTAAACAAATCAAAAAAAGTTCCTCATGAATATCAAATTGACTCTTGATTAACATTTTACACTCTAGTCAACATTGTATACATTGTTTCTATTCAACCAATTTCAGAACTTCATGAAAAAGTTGAGTGGTAGGTTGAGTAATGGGGTAACACAATGGGAGCCTTTTCTTCAAGGCTGGCATGTGAATAAAGTACCTGCAAATCATAAAAAGAAACAAAATGAGAGAGCTTTAAAAATAACCACTTTCACACTGGTCACATCAGTACACTCACACTGGCTAAGGTTGTTGTATGTGGAAGTCTAAGCTTTAAGACTTGGTCAGCATTTTCAGCCTTCCAGCCTCCCCCATTTGTGACCTAGAAAATCTCTGACACGTGGACTATTCTCACCACAATGTGAGCGGAGGCTCCTGCCTCTTGGTTTATCAGGCAATGCACAGCGAGGAGCTGAAATGAAAGTGTCAAGCTGTGGTGACTGCTAGGGCCAAGTCAAGAGGGAAGGGTACAGATCATCCTCACGGCCTCAGTAAAAGCCTAGGAAAGGCCAGGGGAAGAGGCAAAAATGAGAAGGCCTTCAGCCATCCCCTTGGATGACTTAAAAGAATGGTTCTCAACCTGAGTGCACATTGGAATCGCCTGGAGAACTTTATCTTTAAAATGCCACTGCCGTGGTACTGCCCCAGACCAACAAAAACAGAATTTCTACATGTGAGACTGGGTTATCAGTATTTTTTAATAGGTTGAGTATCTCTTATCAAAAATGATTGCAATCAGACATGTTTTGGATTTCAGATTTTTTTCAGATTTTGGAGTATCTACATTATACTTAAGGGCTGGGTATCCCTAATATGAACGTGTGAAATCTACATGTGAAACGCTACATGAGCATTTCCTTTGAGCATCATGTTGGTGTTCAAATGATTTTGGATTTTGGAGTGTTATAAATTTTGAATTTTTGGTTTAGAGATGCTCAATCTGTAGTTATTCTGGTAATTCTAATGCAAAGTGAATTTAAAACACTAGTTTGAAACAAGAATCCAAACCTAAATGGCCACCAGTAATGTAATTTAGGGGGGTAAGAGTAAGTGAGAGAGAGGAGATGGTAGCAAACTGAACAGTACGTGATGCACCTAACAGGGTAGCTACAGTTGTCACTTACAACTGCCTAACTGTTGTCACCTACAGGTGTGAACAACTTTGCCAGTTGTCCTGGTTTTTGGATGTTCATATATAAGTTTTAAAAATTGGGTTGTATGAGACATGCTACAATGTGGATAGCCTTGAAAACATTAAGCTCAGTGAAAGAAGTCAGACACAAAAGGCCACATATTATATGATGCATTTATATGGAATGTCCAGTACAGGCAAATCTATCACAACAGAAAATAAATTAATGGTTTTCAGGGGTTGGGAAGAGGAGGAAATGTGGTGTGATTGTTTAATGGGTACTGAGTTTCTTTTGAGGTGATGAAAATGGTGTGCAATTAGATAGTTATGATGGTTGTAAAATATTGTGAACTATATTAAAAATGCTGAATTGTATATTTTAAAATGGAAATTTCATGTTATGTGAAATTTACCTTAATTTTTTTTTTTAAGTGAGGAGGTGCAGGAGGGAAGAGATGGGAACTGGGTTGTTCGGACCAACTTAGAGCTAAACAATTCCCTTTTACGGAGATTAGAATGGAACACCTTGTGGAAGACAAAAGGTCTGTGGCTGGGTGTGGTGGCTTACATCTGTAATCCTAGCACTTTGGGAGCCCAAGGCAGGTGGATTACTTGAGGCCAGGAGTACAAGATCAGCCTGGTCAACATGACGAAACTCTGCCTCTGCAAAAAATACAAAAATTAGCTGGGTGAAGTGGTGCATGCCTGTAGTCCCAGCTACTCAGGAGGCTGAAATGGGAGCGGGGGATTACTTGAGCCCAGGAGGCGGAGGTTGTGGTGAGCCAAGATCACAGCACTACACTCCAGCCTGGGCAACAGGTGAGACCTTGTCTCAAAAAAAAAAAAAAGTCTATAAATTGGGCTGAAGTTTTTTAAAAGAAGACAATCTAAGGCCATAATAAATGCCTCCACGTCCTTTTCATCCAAACAAATGGCAAAGCTATGTCTGTTGTACCCTTTTCATCTTAAGTCAGAGACAACCTGGGTTTTCTCCTTAATAGGTGCTATGCAGGGCTGCACTGCTAAGTGCACTTAGCTTTGCCAGCCTATAAATAGAAATGGAACCCCTGAGGTGCAGGAGAACAGGCTGACAGGTGAAGACAATGCTGGCTACTGTTCTTTATTACTGCTCTTTCTTACTGCTCTGTTACTGAGGGGGTTACAAACAAAACCCCTGATAGCCATGTTCATTAATTGTTACTCCTTTATCAATTGCTTCTGTCCAATAACTCAACTGTAAGTCACAATCCATAATTTATTATCTTCTTCAGTGACGTTTATTACACTTTTTTTTTTTTTTTTTTTTTGAGACGGAATCTCCCTCTGTTGCCCAGGCTGGAGTGCGTCAGTGTGATTTCAGCTTACTGAAACCTCCGCCTCCCAGGTTCAAGTGATTCTCCTGCCTCAGCCTCTCAAATAGCTGGGATTACAGGTGTGCACCACCACGTCCAGCTAATTTTTGTGTTTTTAGTAGCGATGAGGTTTTGCCATATTGGTCGGCCTGGTCTCAGAACTCCTGACCTCAAGTGATCTGCCCACCTCAGCCTCCCAAAGTGCTGGGATTACAGGCATGAATCACCACACCCAGCCAAGTTTAATACTCTTAATTACTCACAACAGGTTAAAATTATTACTACTTCTGCGAGATGCAGCTACAATAAAGACAATGAGTGACAAACCGTTCTTCAAAGAGAGTTCGATGTTTCACTTGTCTTTTCTGGCCTGGGAATATACTTTAAATGGCAATGGTTGGGGGTAGTGGGCAGGATTAAAAAAAAAAATGGCAATAGTTTTTGGAGGTCCCCAAAGTCCTACCATTTTCACAGATCAAAGTGAAATGTTATTAAAAACAAAAATAGAATTCCCCATAAATACCTAATCTTCTAAATATTGGACCATGTTTCAGGTCGGCATGAACTCAGAAATGAGTGGAATCTTACTGCAGATTAGATTCAGACTTTTTTTCTTACCTGAATTCTTCTCTGTAGTTATTCCTAATATACTCAGCTAGAGTCCTGCTATGCCGCAGACAGCTCTTGAGGATGTAAAATTGCTGGTACAACAGAACAGCTTGGCAGGGACTTAGCAGCTGAAATGAAGCTGAAAGCCCCCTCACCACTTGTTTCACAATACTGGCCACAAAAGTAATCTAGACAAGGAAAATGCAGTTATATGTAGGCTGTGTGCCAGCCACAAAAGCAACAATTTCAGCTGGAGCTTCCTCTACAAATCTAGACTGAAGCCCTCACTACTCAAAAACCACTGTTGCAATCTTCCTCATGGAATGGTATTCAATGTCTAATAAAAAATATAGGAGGGAGCCAGATGCCTTGACTCATGCCTGTAATCACAGCACTATGGGAGGCCGAGGCAGGCGGATTATACAAGGTCAGGAGTTCGACACCAGCCTGGCCAACTATTTCTACTAAAAATACAAAAATTAGCCGGGTGTGTTGGGGTGCACCTGTAATCCCAGATACACAGGAGGCTGAGGCAGGAGAATCGCTTGAACTTGGGAGGTGAAGGCTGCAGTAAGCCGAGATCATGCCACTGCACTCCAGCCTGGCCGACAAAGCAAGATTCCATCTCAAAAAAAAAAAAAGGTACAGGAGACCATTGCTTTGGACTAAGGTTCTGCAGTAAGCCCCGAGTCTCCCATGCTAAAGTTGTGAAACCATCCCATAAACTTTATTTATTTATTCATTATTTTTATTTTTTGAGTCTTGGTCTGTCACCCAGGCTGGAGTGCAGTAGTGCGATCTTGGCTCACTGCAACCTCCACCTCCTGGGTTCAAGCGATTCTCCTGCCTCAGCCTCCAGAGTAGCTAGGATTACAGGCACATGCCACCACGCTCAACTAATTTTTGTATTTTTAGTAGAGAGAGGGTTTCACTATGTTGGCCAGGCCAGTCTCAAACTCCTGACTTCAAGTGATCTGCCTGCCTCAGCCTCCCAAAGTGCTGGAATTACAGGCATGAGTCACCGTGCCAGGCCCAAAAAATGTCACACAATTAATCAGGGAAGAAGGGAGGGGATATTAAAAAATAAACCAAGTTTGCACCACCTTCAAGCATTAACAATTAGGCCAGCTTGTTCTGACCTGCCTCCTTACACTTGTTTGATGGCTGTTGTTCTAGGATCATGTAAACTCCAGATTATAGTCACCCTTAACTGTCTATAGACAACAACCTGAACATCGTGAAACATTGTTTTCCCTTTCAGATATTCTGCCGGGTGCGGTAGCTCAAGCCTGTAATCCCAGCACTTTGGGAGGCCGAGGCGGGTGGATCATGAGGTCAAGAGATCGAGACTATCCTGGTCAACATGGTGAAACCCCGTCTCTACTAAAAATGCAAAAAATTAGCTGGGCATGGTGGCACATGCCTGTAATCCCAGCTACTCAGGAGGCTGAGGCAGGAGAATTGCCTGAACCCAGGAGGCGGAGGTTGCAGTAAGCCGAGATCGTGCCATTGCACTCCAGCCTGGGTAACAAGAGTGAAACTCCGTCTCAAAAAAAAAAAAAAAAAAGATATTCTTTCAGGTCTCACATACCAGTGAAACTACCAATGCCAGCTGGTCTGAAGGACCCCCATGAGGAGTGGACTCACCAAAGAATGTAGTTTCCACATCCTGATTATTTCAGCCCACTTACCCCAACCAATCAATGACCTCAACTTTCCAGCTCCTTGTTCTCCAAAATCCTCTAAAAGCCCCAGCCAAGAACTCCCCAGAGAAATGGATTGAAGGTCTCCTCTCTCAGTTTCTTCATTCAGCTACCCTGTGATTAGTAAACTTTCTCTACTGCAAACTCCTCTGTCTCAGTGCATTGGTTTGTTACTGCACAGTGGGCATATGAACCTGTTGGTCTTATAGCAGTTTCATGTCACCAAATCCAAACTAAGCTGTCATCTGGTCTGCAGAGAAGTCAAGAGACAGAAATAACAGCCAGTTTCCTAAGCAGGCCAGTTTAAAGTCTTCAATCAGGCCAGGCATGGTGGCTCACATCTATAATTCCAGCACTTCAAGAGGCCATGGCAGGGAGTTCAAGACCAGCATGGCCAACATGGTGAAACCTCATCTCTACTAAAAATACAAAAATTTGCTGGGTGTAGTGGCAGTTTCCTGGAGTCCCAGCTACTCAGGAGGCTGAGGCATGAGAGTCAGTTGAACCCAGGAGGCGGAGGTTGCAGTGAACCAACATTATACCACTACACTCTAGCCTAGGCCTCAGAACGAGACTCAGTATCAAAGAAAATATAAAAATAAAGGCCAGGCATGGTGGCTCATGCCTGTAATCCCAGCATTTTGGGAGGCCAATGCGGGCAGATCACCTGAGATCAGGAGTTCAACATGAGCCAACATGGAGAAATCCCATCTCTACTAGAAAAATACAAAATTAGCCAGGCAAGGTGGCTCATGCCTATAATCCCAGTTACTTGGGAGGCTGAAGCAGGAGAATCACTTGAACCCAGGAGGTAGAGGTTGTGGTAAGCCAAGATTGTGCCATTGCACTCCAGCCTAGGCAACAAGAGCAAAACTCCATCTCAAAAAATAATAATAAAATAAATAAAATCTTCAATCAGCGTGATAATGAAGTTCCCTCTCCTTTAATTCTTATAGAAAAGAAGTAGCCTGAAGTAACCTGATACAAACTAATCAGTTATTTTTCTATTTCTCTTTCTCCCTGTCCCTGTCTCACAAATGACTAATACGCTTTGTTCTTTGCTTTTGCTTTCTTCAGCCCTTCTTTGTCTATAAAGCAAACCCTTTCTTCCCAGTGCATTGAAACACTTATTCTCTCTTATGGAATGAAGTGTTGCCCAATTCCAGAATCACAAATAACGCCAATTAACATTTTAAAACTAAAGTTATTGTAATTTTGTCTTTTGACATCAAAGAGCACGAGATCATAGACCAATTTGGGTTTACCAGTTGACCCTCTACAAGCAAGGTTAGAACCAATAGGGACTTGCAAGGAAGTTTGGTTCCAAAGTGGAAGGAGAACTTTGGAAGCAGGAATGGGGATGGAAGAAGAGCGCAGAAAGGTCTATGTCCTCCTCCAATAGGAAAGATAGTTTTTCTTTGTTTCTACAGGTAAGAATAAATGGCCCATATTGATAAGCTGCCTTTGCTTTTCAGACAAAGTTCCTACAAGGCAGTGGTTCTCAAATTTCAATATGCTAAAAATCACCTCTGCAATTCACTAAGAACACACAATACTAGGCCCTACCCTCCAAGTATTTTCCACAAACAATTTTGATGGCTTTGTCCCCGGAGCACATTTTGAGAAACACAGCTCTAAGAGAGAAAGCAAAGAAAGCCAAGTGATGCTGATGCCACTGTACACTGGGGTTTTCAAGGGCACTTCTAGTGTCATTTCTCAGACAGAAACTAAGATGGGGCCAGGTGCGGTGGCTCACGCCTGTAATTCCAGCACTTTGGGAGGCCAAGGCAGGCAGATTACTTGAGGTCAGGTAAGGCCAGATCAAGATCAGCCTGGCCAACATGGTGAACCCCATCTCTACTAAAAATACAAAAACTTAGCCAAGAGTGGTGGCATGCACCTGTAATCCCAGCTACTCAGGAAGCTGAGGCAGGAGAATAGCTGCAATCTGGAAAGTGGAGGTTGCAGTGAGCTGAGATGGCAACTACTACTACACTTCAGCCTGGGCAACAGAGCAAGACTATGTCTCAGAAAAAAAAAAAAATGAGAGAAAAATAAAAAACAAGAACAATTGAATCATAGATTGTTTCTGTTTTGCCATTTTCTTTTTTGGAGATGGAGTCTCGCTTTGTTGCCCAGGCTGGAGTACAGTGAGTGGCGCGATCTTGGCTCTCTGCTTGAACCGCCTCCTGGGTTCAACTGATTCTCCTGCCTCAGCTTCCTGAGTAGCTGGGATTACAGGTGTGCGCCACCACGCCCAGCTATTTTTAAAATATTTTTAGTAGAGACGGGGTTTCACCATGTTGGCCAGGCTGGTCTCCAACTCCTGACCTCAGGTGATCCACCTGCCTCAGCTTCAAAAGTACTGGGATTACAGGCATGAGCCATCGTGCCTGTTTTGGAATTTTCAAATTACTTTCCATAAATGTAGGCTTGTGTGAAAAACAGAAAAGAACGCTAGTGCCCTTTCAAGCTCTAACCAACAGGTCACACTACACACCCATTAAATTAGTATCAATAAAAATGTATTGCCTTTTCTATTGTAATATGTTGCAACTGGCCCCTCCCTACAGATAGGGCAAGTAGTTGGAAGTGGATTTTTCTCATTCCAGACCATTTACATATGTTGACAAAACATATATATTGATTAAACAGATATTGTCTGGCAAACACAGCTTGAACTGAGAGAGTCTGAGGCAGCAGAACAGAACAATGTTAATTAGCACATTTAGAAATTAACTTTTTAACTTTTCTAGAACTTTTCTCTAACCAAGTAAAATAATCAGAGCTGACTGACATGCAGGTGCATAGCAATGATCCCTGTTTCTGTGCTTGCAAATTTCTCTCAAATGATACATTTCTGCCCATACTGTTTAGAACTGGGTTAATATTGAAGCTTTCTTTGGCCAACCCTTCATCCTTACATGCTTTATGGTCACAGACTAGCCTCATTTATACTCAACCCAATTCTTTTGGTGAATCAACTTTAGAAGCTGAAAAAGAAACTTCCTTTTAGCTAGCGTGCAGTGGCACATGCCTGCATTTCCAGCTACTCAGGAGGCTTAGGCAGGAGGATTGCTTGATCCCAGGAGTTTGAGATCAGCCTGGAAAACATAGCAAGACCCCATCTCATTTTTTAAAAATTATTAAAAGTAAGTAAGTGCAGCCAGGCATAGTGACTCACACCTGTAATCCCTGCACTTTTGGAGGCCAAGGTGGGAGGATCACCTGAATTCAGGAGTTTGAGACCAGTGTAACCAACATGGTGAAACTCCATCTCTACTAAAAATATGAACATTAGTTGGGCATGGTGGTGGGTGCCTGTAATCCCAGCTACTCGGGAGGCTGAGGCAGGAGACTCACTTGAACCCAGGAGGCAGAAGTTGCAATGAGCCAAGACCACACCACTGCACGCCAGCCTGGGCAACAAAGTAAGACTCTGTCTCCAAATAAATAAATAAATAAATACCATGCAGGAAGGCTTACATAAGAAATAAAAGTAATAAATAAATAAAAAGAAACTTCCCTCTTTGTGTAGTTTGCAAGTACAGATCCAGAAAAAGAAAAAAAAAAAAGAAACTTCCCTGTTACATGGAGTCTGTAAAACCCTAGATTACATCAGTTCACGTAATAGGGTCTGCAACCACCACACTGAGAACATAGGGTTCTTGCATCTTGCACATATGAGCTTCTGTTGCTGTGAATGTCTATAACTTTAAAACATTCTGTGAAGTGGTCTGAGGTTGGTTGGGGCCTATGTGCTACTGAAGAAGACAAGTTCATGGGCTCAACTTCTGTATAAGGCAGCTGGCTGTTCCACTGACAAATGTACCCTCTGAACCCAGCCAGCTTTGTATAAAACATATGTTTCAGGGATCCGACAAGAGAGTCTAGATCCCACAGGACAGAACCAACATCACTCTATAGAAATGGCAGAGGACCCACTGACAGTCAAAAGATGCATATTCACATATGGAAAGAGAACAGGCCGGGCACAGTGGCTCATGCCTATAATATCAGCAATTTGGAAGGCTGAGGTGGGTGGATCACTTGAGGTCAGGAGTTCCAGGCCAGCCTGGCCAACATGATGAAACCCCATCTCTACTAAAAAATACAAAAATTAGCCAAGTGTGGTGACAGGTGCCTGTAATCCCAGCTACTTGGGAGGCCGAGGCAGGAGAATCACTTGAATCTGGGAGGTGGAGGTTGCAGTGAGCCGAGATTGCGGCACCACTGCACTCCAGCCTGAGCAATACAGCGAGACTCTGTCTCAAAAAAAAAAAAAATAGAGAACATGTTACCTCGTGTCCATTAGCAGTGGAAATTTACTTTACATGACTCTTTTGAATAGATTTCCAATTAAGTGTTTGTTGACTGACTGCTTAAATTTGAGGAGGTGAGAAGAGATTAAGAGATAAAACCTTTACTAGAATTAATTCAGCAGATATTTTACTGAACATTTATTGTGTGCCTAGCACGACAGACATAGCTTCTACCCTCCCAGCATTGTTAGTCTGTAGGAAGAGAAAGATATTGTATCAGTCATGATGGACTAGATTATGCTGTGGTAACAAACCTCCCAGAATACCAATGCTTTGCTTAAAACAACAAAGGCTGGTTACTCATTCTCTCTGCATGTCCCGGAGGGGTCTGCCGGGCTCTGCTCACTGTAGTTACTCTCAGCCATCAGTGGGCAGAGCAGCCACCTTGTGGGTGCTATATGCAGAAGGAAAAGAGAATGCCCGGTGGCACACACTGGCTCTTAAAGCTCCTGCCCAGAAGTGACATAGGCCACTTCTGCTCACATTTCATTAGCCAAAGCAGCAACAGAGACCCCCCCGCAATTTCACATAAAGAGGGAAGTGCAGTCCCACCATGTGCCCAGAAGGAGAGAGAGCCAGAGTATGAGTGGGCACTAATGGCCATGACATGGCAGAACAAAATAATAACACAAACAAACGTGAACTGCAAGTAACGAGGCCTGTAAAGGAGAGGAAGAGGACACTAGGCCATGCACTATTTGTGCCTCTAATCAGGGAATCTCCCCTGTCATGGCAGGCAGAGAAGCAGCCTCCACTCCCCCAGCCCAAGAAGGAGCTCTGAGTCCTGAGGGATGATGAGTAGGAACTGATCAGGTGAAAAAGGGAGGGAGCTGGGTGCAGTGGCTCATGCCTATAATTCCAGCACTTTGGGAGATGGAGGCGGGCAGATCACAAGGTCAAGAGTACGAGAACAGCCTGGTCAACATGGTGAAACCCTGTCTCTACTAAAAATACAAAAATTAGCCCGGTGTGGTGGCGAGCACCTGTAATCCCAGCTACTCAGGAGGCCGAGGCAAGAGAATTGCTTGAACCCAGGTGGCAGAAGTTCCAGTGAGCTGAGATGGTGCCATTGCACTCCAGCCTGGGCAACAGAGCCAGACTTGGTCTCAAAAAAAAAGAAAAAAAAAACGGGGAGAGAAAAGCATTTCCAACGGAGAGACAGATCCAATGGTGCAGGTCCTGGGGGAGCTGGGAGGCAGGGGTGGTGGTGGGAAGAGGGCTGGTGATCAAGAGACCCACACAGCAGGGAGGCTGAGGGACCAGAGGAGGCTGTCAGCCCTAGCACGCAGGGCCCTGTAGGCTACATTAAGGAGTTTAGTCTTTATTCAGAGGGAAAAGTTGTTGAGAGATTTAAAGCAAGGGATGACAATCAGATTTTTATTTCAAATGGATTCCTCAGCCTGTAATCTGGTGAGAAGACAGACAGAGCATTGACATGGGAGTGTAGCATCAAGGAAAGAAATGGTGATAATAGGAACTTGGATGCTGTCTGTGGGGACAGAGTGCACAAAGGATCCCAAGTGTTAGATTCACACTCACTATTTAAGGTAAATGTTTCTCTTTTTACCTAATTATACAGCTAACAATTTAATATTCTGTTTTCTTTTCTTTCTTTCTTTCTTTCTTCTTTCTTTCTCTCTTCTTTTTTTTTGAGACAGAGTCTTGCTCTTCACAGTGGGGTTTCACTGTGTTAACCAGGATGATCTTGATCTCTTGACCTTGTGTTCTGCCCACCTCAGCCTCCCAAAGTGCTGGGAATCTTAGAGTTTCTCATGAAATCAAATTCCCACTGAAGATATAATTTCAGTGCCTTAAACATTCAGGTTCCAAATGTAAAAACGATTTATTTCAATTAAATAATAAACTGTTGCCGGGCATGGTGGTTCATGCCTGTAATCCCAGCACTTTAGGAGGTCGAGGCAGGTGGATCACCTGAGGTTGGGAGTTCGACACCAGCCTGACCAACATGGAGAAACCCCGTCTCTACTAAAAATACAAAATTAGCCAGGCGTGGTGGCACATGCTTGTGCCACCCAGCTACTTGGGAAGCTGAGGCAGAATTGCTTGAACCTAGGAGGCGGAGGTTGCAATGAGCCAAGATTGCACCATTGCACTCCAGCCTGGGCAACAAGAGCGAAACTCCATCTCAAAATAATAATAATAATATTTTATTTTAATAATATTTTATAATAATAATCTGTCAAATTTACACCTTGCTTCTTTTGATAAACTTGATTACATCAGTGGGAAAATATGTTTTATTAATTAAGCACAAGAGTATCTGTATAATTAGGCCTGAGTGGTGATTTTGTTTTGACTTCTAGATACTTACAATGGGAGGACAACTTTGTAGAAAGGACATCATCCAGCTAATAGCAAACTTTGTGGATCCCAATCCAAGATTTCCCTAAAAGACTCAAGGAAATTAACAAGTTATATTCATAAAGTTCATATTGTATCTAGAAGGATGCTCATTCTTAAATACATTTTTATCCTGATAAATCCTTAAAATCAGTTTTGGAAAATAAACTAAATGAACACTTAAGAGCAAAGGTCATATTTAAATCAACCAATTTTGGAGACCATCTATAATACAAGCATTTTTGGTATATTGTTAATCATATACCATAATCATACAATATACATATATCATAATATATAATAGTCATATACTTTATAGTCACACAATACATATACTTGTTAAAAATTGTACCTGCTGAAAGACAAGAAGTATCTCATATAAAAGTGCCGTAGCCGTATCTGTATACTCCAGAATAAGCTTCTGTAACTAGAATTTTCAAGAATAATCAATGCAATGTCATAAGCCAAGTCAGAAAATGATAATTTCCCTTGGTTCCCTTTAGGCACTTATAAAATAATTTTTTCCTTTTTGAGACAGGGTCTCATTCTGTCACCCAGGTGGGAGTGCAGTGGTGTGATCATGGCTCCGTGCAGCCTCGAACTCATGAGCAAAAGCCATTGCTCTCACCTCTGCTTTCTATGTAGCTGGGACTACAGGTGCAAGCTACCATACTGGCTAATTTTATTTTTTCAATTTATTATAGAGATGAGGTCTCACTATTAGCCCAGGGTGGTCTCAAATCCTGAGATCAAGCAATCCTCCCACCCCAATCTCCCCAGTAGCGAGGACTACAAGTATGTGCCAGCACACCCAGGTAATTTTTTCTTTTTTCTTTTGTATAGACAGGGTCTTGCTTGTTGCCGAGGCTGGTATGGAATTCTTGGCCTCAAGTGATTCTCCCACCTCTGCCTCCTCAATAGCTGGGATTCAGATGCAAGCCATTATTCCTGGCTGGTCCAAAGAATACGAATACAAAAAATTGCATACCTGATTTACAAAATCAATCCTATCAACAACCCTACTTTCTCTCAAGAATGTAAAAACATGCTCCCCAGAGTTGAAGTGAGATTTTCTGGGGAATTACGCTTATGCCCAAATTAAACTAAAATTCCTTCTGTGATATGGATAAAGGGCTTAGAGATATTTCATTGCTCTTAAGAATTCCAAACTTCTCTTTACAATAACTATCCCTTTTCTTCTTTTATTCATTTATTTATTCAACAAATATGCATCAGACACCATGCTAGGTGTTGGGGATACAAGGGAGAACAACACAGACATGGCACCTGCCCTTATCGAACATAAAATCTAGTTGGGGAACAAACATCAAACATCCAAATAAACAAATACATAATTATAAACTGAGACAAGGGCTATGAAAGAAATGTACAGGAAGTTAAGGGAGCTCTGTAGTACTAGTCTCATTTGGGGGTCAAGGAATGCTTCCCTCTGGCCCATATCATTCTTTACCTAGATTACTGCACTAGCTTCCTAATGCCCTGCCTATCTGAGTCTTGGTTCTACCCCACTCTTTAACCCCTAACCCACCATTGAAAGTGGTATTGGAAACTCTCCATATACAGTCTGTAATTATATATTCATTGTTAACATCTGTCTCTCCCAGCAGAGTATAAACTAATAAAGGCAGGGGTTGTGTCTGTTTTGCTTACTGTTTTGACTTTACTGACTAGCACACTGTTTGCTCATAATAGATGCTCAATAAATATTTACTGATTGTGGCTAGGTATGGTAGCTCATGCCTGTCATCCTAGCATTTTGGGAGGCCAAGGCAGGCAGATCATTTGAACCAGGGGTTTTGAAACCAACCTGGGTAACATGGCAAGATCTTGTCTCTACAAAAAATAGAAAAATAAGCCTGTAGTTCTAGCTACTTGGGAGTCTGAAGTGGGAAGATCACTTGAGCCTGGGAAGTCAGTGAGCTGAGATTGTGCCACTGCACTTCAGCCTAGGCAACCAAGTGAAAGCCTGTCTGTCTCAAAAAAAAAAAAAAAAAAATTACTGAGTGAATGAGTATTCTAAAGCATAACTCTGACCACATATTCCATATATTTAAGAACTATCAAATCATGTTCCATCCTTAAAAAAAAAAATCTGTTAGCCTGGTTCAAAATAAACTAATAATACATTGTTTTATTCTATCAGAAGGTATGCTTTCTAGGCAGTTTGGTATTTCTAATGTTTTGGTACAACCTTAGAAAAACAAGTAACTCTTGCTGATAATTTATACTATGTATATAGGTAGGGAAATGGTAAAGTATGACAGTTAACCCTAAAATTTCTAAGACAGTGATTTTTTTTTACCCATTAGACCCCTGCTATGCAATTACATATACATCATATTTTGCATAGAGACAGACATAAACAGTTATCAAATTTATAAAGAATGCTACTTTTCTTAATATGCATACCTTAAGACATATAACATGGATATATTAATATTGACTGAATAGTTATTTTTTCCTTTTTCTTGACCCTCTAAATCTACTTTAGACTGAATCGTTATCTAAATTTTGAGGTTAATGACAAAAGGTCTACTCTTTGATTTAATTATGTTTCTATATTCTGTGATGACATGGTCCACATTAAAAGCCAGGGCCCCTATATATGATAGTATACCCCCAAAATTCTCATCTCACCTCAGCATCAAAAGACATTTCGACTAAAGCTGAATCAGCCACCGACTGGATATTAAATATGGGACAAGATTTTGGAATCTGAGGCTCGCTAATTAAAATTACCAAGAGATTCAATAATGTTTCCCTAAAAAAAAATAAGTGAAAGGCAATTAATGAGCAGTTTTGAGAAGAAAATGGTGAAGCTAAGTTTACAAACACTGAATATAATTATGTTTAAAACAATGAAGCACTGCAGACCATCCTTGACTGAGGTTTTGGACGCTTGGACATGCAAATGAATGTCTAGAGATAAAATATTTAAATGAAAATAATTTCTTGGTCTTCTGGCTCAGAGTGAGTATAGTTCTAGAAGTGCACATAGCTTGAAAAGACTAGAAAATCTGAATTTAAGGGAGATTTGGGTAATTTCAATTATAGCATTATTTTCCAAGGAGCTCTTTATACATTGCTAGTTCCAGACAATATTATAGTTAAAATAGATATTGTGGTCAAAGGAGACAGGAAAATACTTGGTTAAACCAAGTTCATCAGATGTGTTTACTACAGGGCTTCTCATGGGCTTTTTTTTTTTTTTTTTTTCGAAACAGTTTCACTCTTGTTGCCCAGGCTGGAGTGCAATGGTGCAATTCTGTCTCACCCTCCCAAGTAGCTGAGATTATAGGCATGTGCCAGAGGCTTTATATGCTAATATCCACTGTGTATCTCTGGAACAAAGCAACACTATGCAGCCTTTCTTTTTTCTTTTCTTAAGTTTGATTGCTTGGGTTTTTTTGTTTTGTTTTGTTTCTTGTTTTTTGACACAGGATCTTACAATGTTGCCCGGGCTGGTCTTGAACTCCTGGACTCAAGTGATCCCCTGCCTCAGCCAAGTAGCTGAGATTACAGGCCTGAGTGACCACTCCCAGTTTTTACTTTTTAAAACTGATAATGAAAATTATATATATTTATTGCATAAAACATGATGTTTAGAAATGTGTATATCCTGTAGCATATGTACATACTTTATAAATCAAGTGAATTGACATATGCATTACCGCACATGCTTATTTTTATATAGTGAGACCACAAAATCTGTTGTCAGCAGTTTTCAAGTATACAGGACATTATTAACTATAGTCACCATGTTTGTATGATAAATCTCTTGAACTTATTCCTCCTGTCTGACTGAAGTTTTGTACCCTTTGACCAAGATCTTCCAATTCTACCCCACCCCTAAGCCTCTGACAACCACCATTCTACACTCTCTATTTCTATGACTTTGGCTTTTTTAGATTCCATATATAAGTGAGATCATGCATGATCTCAAAAGTCAAACTCATATTTGTCTTTCTGTGCCTGGTTTATTTCATTATTAGCATAATATCCTCCAGTTTTGCCACATTGTCACAAATAACAAGACTTCCTTTTTATGGCTGAATAATATTCCATTGTGGATGTGTACCACATTTTCTTTATCCACTCAGCCATTGCTGGACACTAAGTTTGCTTCCTTTTCTTGGTTTTTGTTAATAATGTGCAGCATTTCTTTTTTTTAATATAAAACATTTTAACATAAAAATGGGATCTTGCTTTGTTGCCCAGGCTGGACTTGAACCCTTGGCCTAAAGCAATCTGCCGACCTCAGCCTCCCAAAGCGCTAGGATTACAGGCATGAGCCACCACACCCAACTCCAGCATTGCTTTTTTTGCTTTGTTTTGTTTGAGATGGACTTTGGTTTTGTTGCCCAGGCTGGGGTGCAGTGGCGCTATCTCAGCTCACTGCAACCTCGGCCTCCCAGGTTCCAGTGATTCTCCTGCCTCAGCCTCCCAAGTAGCTGGCATATGCCACCATGCCTGGCTAATTTGGTCAGGCTGGTCTCGAATTCCCGACCTCAGGTGATTCACCTGCCTTGGCCTCCCAAAGTGCTGGGATTACAGACATGAGCTCCTGCTCCTGGCCTCCAGCATTTCTTAAAATGCTTACTTGATATCCAAAACCTCAGATCTTTTACTTTCCAATGTGGGGTACTATCCATTGATAACTCACTTAAATGTTACCTGTGCATCCTCATGAACTGGGTTAATAACACTATCTCATGTTGAGTAGAACAACCCCTGTATGGTTGAAAAGGAGCTGAAGGCAGACTGCTAAAAACTCAGTTGCCTACTTTATTTGCCAACCTGAAGACAATGTCAGAGTCGATTTGAGGGGTAGGAGTAGTAAAATAATTCAGAGATAAAACTACACAAAAATTCTCCATAACCATAAGCATTCCTTTCATAATAGAATAAAGGAGAGTGAGTATAAATATTCCTGTTTAGTAAGATCTGAGGCTTTCTAATCTTTTTACAATCATTTAAATCATCACCATGATTAGAAGCTCATGATTAACCTACACTTTAATAAAAATACAATGCCCTTCCTTCAAGTCAAAAAGCAAGTCTAGTTCTTATATCTGGAAAGAAGAATTATTAGTACATTTCTCACAAAAGCAGGATATACCCTACAGGGTATTTAATAATGTTTTATTCAGGCTATTAAAATGGCCACTCTTACTTTTAGAAGACACTTTTCAATCAACAGAACACTCCCTTTAGAAGTGTTCCTTGATATTGTCCATTCAGTGTTAGATTTAATTACAGTCCTTTACTTCCAGTGACAGCTTATTTTCAAAGTATCATATATCCAAGGCAAATTATGGGTTACTTGCTATGATAACATATGAATTCAACCATAACAATACTAGGATATGAAAAACTATGGCACATTTCAAGAAAGTTACAGCAAAGTGTGTTGAACTAATACAGTCTCCACTCATGAAAATAATAAAGAGGAAAATGCTGAAATGATTAACTGCTTTATTTGCCCAAATGGAATTTAATTTGAAATCCACCCCTTCTGCCAACTTAATTTAAAATCCACTAGGGCAATCATAGATAGAAGAAATTTTAATCAAAACGGTAGTTTCGTCCTGAAAACAGAGATGACTTATAGGATTGACATCACAGCCTTAAAAATCGTCTCAACAGTTTAATACTTTATTGTTTAGGTTATTATTTCCAATGTATGAATTTTGAATGTACTATAGTATCTTTTAAAATACAGAATTCGAAGGCCACATTCATAGTCTCCTAAGTCAGTCTATGTTATTGTGGTAGGCAGAAATCTAACGTGGCTTCCAAGATTCCCAGCCTGCTGGGATACATACCTTATCAAATTCCTTCCCCTTAAGTATGGGCAATACCTCTGAATATGTTTATCTTGTCGCTCTTGTGATTATGTTATATGAAATGGGAAAGATGAAGGGATTCTGAAAATATAAAGGCCCCTAATTGGCTGACTTTTAAGTTAATCGAAAAGAGATTATCCAGAATAGGCTTGCTTTAATCAGGTGAGCCCCGAAAAAGAGAGCTTAGGCCTTCCCTAAGCTCAGAGATACTCTCCTGCCAAGAAACAAGCCACCTGAGGCGCACAGCTGTAAGGAAACTAAGTCTGCCAACAACCACCCAAATGAGCTAGGAAGAGTCCCAAGCCTCAGATGAGACTATGGCCTGGCCAGCACCTCAACTGAAACCTTGTGAGACCCTGGGCAAAGGATCCAGTTAAGCTGTGCCCAGATTTCTGATCCACAGACACTGTGAGATAAAAAATGCACGTTGTGGCCAGGCACGGTGGCTCATGCCTGTAATCCCAACATTTTGGGAGGCCAAGGCGGGTGGATCATGAGGTCAGGAGCTCAAGACCAGCCTGGCCAACACAGTGAAACCCCATCTCTACTAAAAACTACAAAAATTAGCCGGGCACAGTGGCAAGCACCTGTAATCCCAGCTACTCAGGAGGCTGAGGCAGGAGAATAGCTTGAACCCAGGCAGCAGAGGTTGTAGTGAGCCAAGATCACGACACTGCCCTCCAGCCTGGGCAACAAAGTGAGATTCCATCTCTAAAAAAAAAAAAAGAAATGCATGTTGTTTTAAGCCACTAAGTTTGTAATAATTTGTTATATGGTAATAGAAAACTAATACAGTTTTGGCTGGGGATGGTGGCTCAAGCCTATAATCCTAACACTTTGTGAGGCCAAGGTGGGTAGATCACCTGAGGTCAGAAGTTCAAGACCAGCCTGGCCAACATGGTGAAACCCCATCTCTATTAAAAATACAAAATCAGGGCCGGGTGCAGTGGCTCACGCCTATAATCCCAGCACTTTGGGAGGCTGACGCGGGTGAATCACGAGGTCAAGAGATTGAGACCATCCTGGTCAACATGGAGAAACCCCGTCTCTACTAAAAAAAATACAAAAAATTAGCTGGGCATGGTGGCACGCGCCTGTAGCCCCAGCTACTTGGGAGGCTGAGGCAGGAGAATTGCTTGAACCCAGGAGGCGGAGGTTGGGGTGAGCCAGGATTGTGCCATTGCACTTCAGTCTGGGTAACAAGAGCGAAACTCCGTCTCAAGAAAAAAAAAAAAATACAAAATTAGCAGGGCATAGTGGTGCAAGCCTGTAATCCCAGCTACTCAGGAGGCTGAGACATGAGAAATGCTTGAACCCAGGAGGCGGAGGTTGTAGTCAGCCAAGATCGTACCATTGCACTCCAGCCTGGGTGACAGAGTGAAACTCTGTCTTAAAAAAATAAAACTAATCATATGCTAGACCGTAGGGCTATTGGGGAAAAAAAAAAGAAAGAAAAAAAAGAAAAAGAAAGCTAACACAGTTTTATTAGATATTTAATGGGCTACATAATACTATAGGTCATATCGTTTGACCCTAGGGATATAAAAATTGGCTGAGAAAAGTTAATATTACAACCAGACTCTACGATAGCAATATAATATATGTATTGAAGGACATTAAAAGAATTAGTAATATCAGGAAAGAGGCTTGATATAGGAGGGCTGACGTGATCAAACCAAGTTAAAACAAAACAATTAAAAGCAATACTTTTAAAGAAAATGAAAAGACATAAAAACAATACAACAGAGGGGAGTAAGGATGATTTTTTTTTTCAACTTGGAAATAGAAAGGTAGGGACAAAAAGGTCGAAAAAAAGATAACCAAATTTAGTGATAATTTCAATGTGGGAAAAGACAGAAATATCAAAAATAATGTTGAATCTCCATCTTGGAGATTAGGGAAATGGCAGTACTACCAATCACATAAAGAAGTATTCAAGCTGGGAGAGATGGCTCGCCAGTAATCTTGGCACTTTGGGAGGCCAAGGTGGGAGGATCATTTGAGCCCAGGAGTTTGAGACCAGCCTGGGCAACAAGTGAGACCCTGTCTACAAAAAAATTAAAAAATAAGAACTGGCTTGGCATGGAATATTTTCTTGTTTGCTGTAAAGCAGGGCTCAGCAAACTATGGCCTGCAGGCCAAGTCCAGCCCACAGCCTGCTTCTGTGAAGAAAGCTTTATCAGAACACAACTGTGTCCATTCGTTCATGTACTGTTTACGGCTGTTTTTATGCTACAATGGCAGAACTGAGAAGATGCAGCACAGATTGTATGGTGTGATAAGCCAAAACTATTTTTCTATATGACCCTTTACAGAAATGTTTGCCCACTCCTCCTACAAAACATAGTATGCTGGCTCAGCACAGTGGTTCACGCCTGTAGTCCTAGAACTTTGGGGGTCAGAGGCAGGAAGATCACTTGAGCCCAGGAGTTTGAGACCTGCCTGGGTAACATGGCAAAACCCCATCTCTATGAAAAATACAAAAAAAAATTAGCAGGGCATGGTGGCACATACCTGTGGTCCCAGCTACTGGGGAGGCTATGGTGGGCTAAGAACCAAGAGTTCTTGTTCTTTCCCCTGGTATGAGTGTTTTTGTCTGTTTTTATTTTTTCCTGTTTTTTTTTTTTTTTTTTAGAGACAGGAGACAGGGTCTCATTCTATCACCCAGTGAGCCCCAGGGAGGTTGAGGCTGCAGTGAGCCAAGATCTTGCCACTGAACTCCAGCCTGAATGACAGAGTGAGACTCCATCTAAAAAACTATGTATGGTATGTCCATAGTCCCTGGCATGTAGCAAGTGTGCTTAAGAAATATTAATTAGGCCGGGCGCGGTGGCTCAAGCCTATAATCCCAGCACTTTGGGAGGCCGAGGCGGGTGGATCACGAGGTCAACAGATTGAGACCATCCTGGTCAACATGGTGAAACCCCGTCTCTACTAAAAATACAAAAAAAAAAATTAGCTGGGCATGGTGGCACGTGCCTGTAATCTCAGGAGGCTGAGACAGGAGAATTGCCTGAACCCAGGAAGCGGAGGTTGTGGTGAGCCGAGATCGCGCCATTTCACTCCAGCCTGGGTAACAAGAGCGAAACTCCGTCTCAAAAAAAAAAAAAAAAGAAATATTAATTAATGAAATTAGGGCCGGGCACAGTGGTTCATGCCTGTAATCCCAGCTACTTAGGAGGCTGAGGCATGAAAATGACGTGAACCCACAAGGCAGAGGTTGCAGTGAGCTGAGGATGCACACTCCACCCTGGACGACACAGTGAGACTTTGTCTCAAAAAAAAAAAAGAAATATTAATGAAATTAGCCAAGTGCGGTAGCATGTGCCTGTTGTCCTGGCTACGTGAGAGGCTGAGGTGGGAGGACTGCTTGAGCCCAGGAGATGGAGGCTGCAGTGAGCTATGATAGTGCCACTACACTCCAGGCTGGGCAACAGAGTAAGATTCTGTTTCATATATATATATGCATATATATGAATATTATCATTAATATTTATTTTCAAAGATCTTTAATAAACAGGCTGGAAAAATATTACCAAGAGTTCTTATTCTTTCCCCTGGTATGAGTGTTTTTGTCTGTTTTTATTTTTTCCTGTTTTTTTTTTTTTTTTTTAGAGACAGGAGACAGGGTCTCATTCTATCACCCAGTGTAGCACAGTAATTGCTCACTGCAGTCTCGAACTCCTGGCTCAACTGATCTTCCTGCCTCATCATCCTGAGTAGCTGAGACCACAGGCATGTGCCACCATGCCAAACATTTTTTTCCAAGAGGTGGGGGTCTCACTTTGTCATCCAGACTGGTCTCAACCTCCTGGCTTCAATTGATCTTCCCACCCTGGCCTCCCAAAGTGCTGGGATTACATGTTTTGACTGTTTTAGAGTCCATGGCTCTCATCATTTGCTCCACCCTTTTTTTTTTTTTTAAGAGACAGAGTCTCACTGTGTTGCCCAGGCTACGTGCAGTAGCTTACTGCTGCCTGGAACACCTAGGCTCAAGTGATCTCTCCCTTCAGCCTCCTGAGTATTGGGATTACAGGCATGCATGCCTATCTCTGGCTCATTCCTCCACCTTTTAATACAGTGAATTTAGATAAACAATTGATGAAAGTGGAAAAAAGTTAAGATTTTAGCCACAACATTGCCCAAGAATATAATTTAGAGTTTATAAATACATATTTTAAAAAATCAAGTGGCTGAGTGTGGTGGCTTTCACCTGTAATTCCAACATTTTGGGAGGCCAAGGCAGGTGGATCTCCTGAGGTCAGGAGTTCAAGACCAGCCTGGTCAACATGGTGAAACCCCATCTCTACTAAACTAAATCCCATCTCTACTAAAAATACAAAATTAGGTAGGCATGGGGGTAGACACCTGTAATCCCAGCTACTTGGGAGGCTGAGGCAGGAGAATCGGTTGAACCCGAGAAGCAGAGGTTGCAGTGAGCTGAAATCGTGCCATTGCACCCTTATCTTGGGTGACAAGAGTGAAACTCTCTCTCAAAAAGAAAAAAGAAAAAATCAAGCAGACTGTATGCTGAACTGCAGAATCACAGTTTCTGTGACAAAGTATGCTACTGTCCCCCACTATACATTCTTCCATTCTTCCTTTTAATAACAGATGTCCTCTTTGCCATCCAAAACTAAGTTAGGCACATAGCTGTCCAACTACAGACACATTTCCAGCCTGTCTTGCAGCTAGGTGTGGCCATGTGCCTAAAGTTCTCACCCAGGGAATGTGAGCAGACGTGTTACATGCCTTGTTTAAAAAGGAAGCTTGTTTGCCCTCTAATTCTCTTTTTTTTTTTCTTTTTTAACTGGAATGCCCTCTACTTCTCTTCCTGCTTCCCATAGGATATAGTGAATTCATCAAGGTCAGCCAGCTTCCACTATAAGGATAAAGACAACATGATAGAAGAAAACAGAGTAACAAAATGGGGAAAAAAACCTTAGGTTCCTGGCTCACCTTGTGTATGAAGCCTGAATATCTACTCTGAACTGTTATGTGAGAAAGATTTCAATTACAATCTTCTTTGGGCCACATATTTTAGAGTCTCTCTCTCTCTCTTTTTTTTTTTTGAGACAGCATTTTGCTCTTTGCCCAGGCTAGAGTAGAGTGCAACAGTGCAACCTATGCCTCTCAGGTTCAAGCGATTCTTGTGCCTCAGCATCCCAAGTAACTGGGAACACAGGTGCACACCACCACTCCCAGCTAATTTTTGTATTTCAGTAGAGACAGGGTTTTACCATGTTGGTCAGGCTGGTCACGAACTCTTGACCTCAGGTGATCCATCCACCTCAGTCTCCCAAATTGCTGGGATTACAGGCATGAGCCACCATGCTCGACCTAGAGTATCTTTATTACAGCAGCATACCCTATATATTAATAAACTCTCCAAAGTCACTTACTCTAAGGTCACACAATTGTATTGTAAATGAGGCTTCTATAACTCCTGCTTTTGCAATTTTTCTGTTGTGTGGATATAAGGATACTCTGGGAAATTCTAGTGGAGATCCCCTGGCTTTTAATGTATGATGAGTCATTTGGTCTTTTTCAAGTTCACCAGACTAGGACAAAAGAAAAAATTATGCTAAGAAAATCCTTGTACCCTTAATAATCTAGAGACACAGAGATAACTCAGCCTGTGCCAATTAATCTGTTCATCACAGAAGGAGGCAGATAAACAAAAAGAGCGAAATACAGTTGGAAGGGGGTGAACAGAGAAGTTGGAGAATTATGTGCTTTGGAAGACCCTCAACAAGAATACTTAATAGGTTACAACTACAAAGTCCCAATGCCTTCTAAAAGATCTTACTTCTTAGCTGCCAATGTGTTCAGGCGTGATAACTCAGTTTCTGTTTCTCTGAACATCAGTCCTAGGATCTGTATAATTTCAATGCATGCCCTAGAAAATAAAATGATAAAAGGCAAGGAAATGACATGATTTTATCAGAAGCTCAGAATTCCACAAAAGTAGTCATCTTTGCTAAAACTGCTTGAGATATTCATATAGAAAAAAGTACAGGAAGTAAATTCTGTACATTTGCTAACATTGGTTAAGTGCCTACTCTGACTGCTTCACAGTAAACAGTCAAAAACATTTGCTGGTCAGGCACAGTGGCTCATGCATTACTCATGCTGTAACCCCAGCACTTTGGGTGGCCCAGATGGGCAAATGGCCTGAACCCAAGAGTTTGAGACCAGACTGGGCAACATGGCGAAACCCCATCTTTACAAAAATTAGCTGAGTGTGGAACTTGGGAGGTTGAGGCTGCAGTGAGCCATGATCATACCACTGCACTCCAGGCTGGGTGACAGAGTGAGAACTTGTCTGAAAAAAAAAAAAAAAAGTTGAATGAATGAATAGCTGAATTTCAGTTCTAACTCATTTTTACATTTTTTTGGTATGTATGTTTTTTTGAAAGTTTTTAGGATAATTACACACTGTTATAAAATTATTTTTAATATTTTCAGAGAGGTAATATTTGGCTCAAAATGTCAATGGTAAAAAAAGAGAATATAGTGAAAGTTGTTTCTCCTCCAGATATCCATTTTTCCCACTTTCGGACAACAAATATTACTAGTTTCTTATGCATTCGACCAAAATAAATACTATTTTTTAAAATCCACAGAAAGAGGCCAGGCACGGTGGCTCATGCTTGTAATCCCAGCACTTTGGGAGGCCGAGACAGGTGTATCACCCGAAGTCAGGATTTCGAGACCAGCCTAGCCAATATGGTAAAACCCCGTTTCTACTAAAAATACAAAAATAAGCCGGGTGTGGTGGCATATGCCTGTAATCCCAGTTGCTTGGGAGGCTGAAGCACGAGAATTGCTTGAACCCATGAGGTGGAGGTTGCAGTGAGCCAAGATCATGCCACTGCACTCCAGCCTTGGCAGCAGAGTGAGACTCTGTCTCAAGAAAAAAAATAATAAATGAAAATAAAAATAAAATAAAATTCATAGGAAGAAAAACTTGCAGCACCATTAATCATTAATATAGTATATATTTTGTCCAGTGTCCTCCATTTATCTTTAACACCCTAGCAAAAAAAAAAATTGGTGATTATCTAGTTAGTACTTACACCAGCTCCTCAACCCTTTGGCTTTGATTTTGAAGTCCATTCTTATCCCTAGACGCAGGCAAGTACTCATGAAGTTTGTTTACTAGGAAATAGAAAAGATCACTGGTCTGTGAAATCAAGTGGGGGAAAACAAGGCGATCATTAAAGTATCTGTTAAAATCCTCTATTCTCATGCACTAAAAGTATGAAGAAATAGTTTGTTCTTTAATTAGAGAAGTGAATTACAATATCTCCCATTATACTAGCATAACCCAAATTGGAAACATACTTCTAACTTAAAACCAGGAGACCACTGTCCTGGTATCAGAGCAATGGCTAGAGGGTGATGCTGGGAGGTGCCACTTAGGCCTGGCTCGATCATTAACCTTGAAGAGCATCCAGAAGTAGGTGTGTAATCTCAGGCAACTCACTCAGTCACCTTGAAAAATGGGGCTCCTATAATTTCTGCCTTTCCAAAGTAATTTGGCCTTTGTGAGGACATAATGAATAACGAATAAGCAAGCTCTCGTTTTAAAATGTTTACTAACACAAAAACAAACGGGCAGCACTAGGCTAGCTTATGGAAATCATGCAGAACAATAGTAATTCTTCTGATAATACAGTGGAAATGTAGATTGCCATTTCTGTCAAAATAAACACTGACTTAGAGTTGGGGAACCAATTTTTGTGTGTTCCTGTCCAGTCTCATGAGAAATCAAGCATGAAAATAAACACTGGCCCCTGAAATCAGGCAAGTCAGCATTAATGAGAAATGTAATTGCTTTTTCTTTGCCTATTTCTCTATTGCTCGTTTTTTCCCCAGGATTTTGGTTTACTAGTGACAATTTAGGCTTTTTGTTTAGAAAGTTTATGTGTGCCCTTATTCAGGTGATGTGGTATGAAAAGAGGCTGGGAATGTTGTGGAGAAAGGAAAACAAGGAAGAGGAGCGGGATGTATACAAGAAACTCTCAGAAGTGCTTGGGCTTTGAAAGAAGGAATGACTTGGCACCATGGCTCATGCCTGTAATCCCAGCACTTTGGGAGGCTGAGGTGGGCAGATCCCTTGAGGTCAGAAGTTTGAGACCAGCCTGGCCAATATGGCAAAACCCTGTCTTTACTAAATATACAAAAATTAGCTGGGTGTGATGGCATGTGCCTGTAATCCTGAATCCCACTACGTGGGAGGCTGAGGTGGCAGAATCACTTGAACCTGGGAGGTGAAGGCTGCGGTGAGCTGAGATTGCGCCACTGCACTCCAGTCTGGGCAAGAGTGAGTGAGACTCAGTCAAAAAAAAAAAAAAAAGCTTACCCAGTACCTGATAAATTAGCATAGTGTGGTGGTTTTACAAACAGACTCTAGAGTTATATTCTTTGAACTCAAATCCCAGCTCAGCTCTGCCACTGGGTAGTTGTGTGACATTTGGCAAATTACTTATACTCCCTGTCACTCAGTTTTCTTGTCTTTAAAATAGGGTTAATAATATCACCTCATGGGGTTGATATTACATTTAAATAAGATAGTATGTATCTGGAAAGCTTCAGCAGTGCTAACCACATAAAAAGTGTTTAATAAGTATCATTTGGCTGGGCGCAGCCAGGCACTGTGGCTCACGCCTGTAATTCCAGCACTTTGGGAGGCTGAGGTGGGTAGATTGACAGAGGTAAGGAGTTTGAGACCAGCCTGGTCAACATGGTGAAACCCCATCTCTACCAAAAAAAAAAGAGAGAGAGAGAATAAGTATCACTTGTTATTATGACGTCCCACCTGCTCACTGATACATGAATTTTCACTTATAAAATATCATCCATCTACCTGCAATAACATGGAAGAATCTCAAAAATATGCCAAAAGAAGCCAAATGCAAAAGAGTACTCCGAATGCAAGAGTACTTAGTGCAGAATTCCATGTAAGTGCAATGCTAAAAAAGGCAAAACTCATCTACAGTGACAGAAAGCACATCAATAGTTGCACGAGGGCAGGAGTGTGAGAGAACTGGCAGCCAAGGGGCACAAGGCGACCTTCTGGAGTGACAGAAATGTTTTCTATCTTGATTGAAGCAGTATTAATAGATACATGAATATAGACATTTGTCAAGACTCTTCAAACTGTATCTTTAAATATGGATGCATTTTATTTTATGTAAATTATACCACAATAATTTCTTCAAAGAACAGAGATGAATGGTCAATAAGCACATGAAAGATGCTCAACATCATAATCATTAGAGAAATGCAACTCAAAACTACAATGAGATATCTCACACCCATTAGGATAGCTACTATTAAAAAAAAAAAATACACACAAGCCAAATAGGCTGGGTGTGGTGGCTCACGCCTATAATCCCAGCACTTTGGGAGGCTGAGGTGGGTGGATCACCTGAGGTCAGGAGTTCGAGACCAACCTGGCCAACATGGTGAAACCCGTCTCTACCAAAAATACAAAAATTAGCCAGGTGTGGTGGCAGGTGCCTGTAATCCCAGCTACTTGAGAGGCTGAGACGGGAGAATGGCTTGAACCCAGAAGGCAGAGGTTGCAGTGAGCTGAGATTGCACCACTGCACTCCAGCCTGGACAACAGAGTGACACTCCATCTCAAAATAAATAAATAAATAATAACAAGTGTTGGCAAGGATGTAGAAGAATTGGAACCCTTGTATACTGTTGGTGAGAATAGCAAATAGCACAGACACTGGAAACCAGTGTGGTGGTTCCTCAAAAATTTAAATACAGAATTACCATCCAGTCCAGCAATTCCATTTCTGGGTATATACCCAAAAGAATTGAAAGCACCATCTTAAAGAGATATGTTGCATACCCGTGTTCATAGCTGTATTACTCACAACATCTAAAACATGGAAGCAACCCCAGTGTCCATTGATAGATGAATGGATAAGGAAAATGTAGTATATACATACAATGGAATATCATCGAGCCTTAAAAAAAGGGACATGCGGATACATGCTACAACATGGATTAAACTTGAGAACATTATGCTAGGTGAAATCTCAGTCGCAAACAGACAAACACTATGTGATTCCACTTATATGAGGTACTAATAGTTAAAATCACAGACAGAAAGTAGAATGGTAATTCCCAGGGGCTGTGGATTGTGGGGGTGGAATGGGGGAAATAAATGGAACGCTGTTGTTTAATGGGTAGAGAGTTTCAGTTTTGTGAGATGAAGAGTGTTCTGGAGATGATGGTGCTGATGGCTGCACAACACTGTGAATAAACTTGATACCACTGAAATGTGTGCTCAAACATGATTAAGGGAGTAAATTTCATGTTATGTATATTTTGCCAAAAAAATTTAAAAATGAAAGAAAAACCATATGAAGAAAAAAATGTTTTCTTTTTTTTGAGATGGCGTCTTGCTCTGTCACCCAGGCTGTAGTGCGGCACGATCTTGGCTCACCACAACTTCCACTTCCTGGGTTCAAATGATTCTCCTGTCTTAGCCTCCCAAGTAGGTGGGATTACAGGTGCATGCCACCAAACCCAGTTAAACTTTTTTGTATTTTTAGTAGACACGGGATTTTACCATGTTGGCCAGGCTGGTCTTGAACTCCTGGACCTCAGGTGATGTGCCCGCCTCAGCCTCCCAAAGTGCTGGGGTTACAGGCATGAGTCACTGTGTCTGGTGGAAAAGTTTTAAACTTGAAAAAGAACATAGAGAACTCTTTCATCTACTCATTTATTCATTCAGTGAATGCATAATTATCGATTGCCAGCTATGTGGCAGGTATGCAAGATAATGAGATAACATCTTGAGCAAAACAGACAAATAGACATGTGTCTCTTCTTCTAAAATTTGGAATTTAGTCAACCTATGAAAAAGTGTTCACGGCCTATAATCTCCGGCTTATAGCACTTTTGAAGGCCAAGCGGGGCGGCTCACTTGAGCCATAGAGTTCAAGACCAGCCTGGGCAACATGGTGAACCCCTTCTCTATAAAAAATACAAAAATTAGCCTGGCATGGTGGTATGCACCTGTAGTCTCAGCTACTCAGAGTGTGGAGGTGGGGGGATCACTTGAGTCCAGGAGGTGCAGGTTGTTGTGACAGAGATGGCACCATTGCACTTCAGCCTGGGTGACAGAGTGAAACCCCATCTCAAAAAAAAATTTTACCTTCAATAAAATTAAAAAATAAAGACCACTTAAAAAAGTATGCCTCAATAAAGTTGATTTTTAAAGGGAGGAAAAAAACTATATTTATATGTTTTATATCTATAATAAATATCTCTATTATAGTGTATCTATAATTTTTAATATCCATAATATGTATATTATATTATATATGTATAATTTTACATCCTATTACAGGAAGCAAAAATTAAGGATACCTGTGATGGTTAATTTTAGATGTAAACTTGGCTAAACTAGGAGTACTAGAGAACTGGTAAAGCATTATTTCTGTGATATCTGTGAAGGTATTTCCAGAGGAGACTGACATGTGAGTTGGAAAATGGTGTAGTTCTGTCTCTCTGGAGAATCCTGATACAGATTTTGGTAACAGAAGTAGAACTGTTGCTATAGGGAGTACCAAAAAATGTGGAAGTGGCTTTGGAATTGGTTAACGGATAGAGGCTCGAAGAATTTGGAGGAGCAGGCTAGACAAAGTCTAGATTGCCATAACTGGAGCATTAAAGGTGATGCTGGTGAGGGCTCAAAGAATAGGACAGATGTGGGGAAAATCTGAAACTTCTTAGCAATGTCTTAAGTGAAAGAGTGAAAGATTATTCTCCAGCTTTAAGAAAATATTATTTTCCCTGTTGGGTTTTGGACTTACTTGGCCCTTTCCTCTTCTTATGTCTTCCTTTTGGAATAGGAATATCTATTCTCTGGCCATCTCACCACTGTATTTTGGAAATAGATAACTTGCTTGATTTACAGGCTGACAACTGGAGAGGAATTTGCCTCAGGATGAATCCTGTCTTGAGTCTCACCCACACCTGATTTAGATGACAATTGGTACTTTGGACTTATGAGTTGATGCTGGAATGAGTTAAGACTTTTGATGCTATTGGTATGGAATAAATGTATTTTGTATGTAAAAAAGACATGAATTTTGGGGACCAAGAGCAGAATGCTGTGGTTTGAATGTGTCTCCCAAAGTTCATGTTTTA